GGACGCACGCGTGGTTTCCCCCCCCCCCCCCCCCTTTTTTTTTTTTTTAATAGCCTGCAACCTTACTGTCTAAAGATGCAGTTGCAGAAGTCTCACAAGGTAGTTAGTGCTACACTAGGTCAGGACTTGGATGGACAGATCCCCCCACCTCTGCAAGGAAATTCCCACAGGAAATGTCACTGATTATTCAGTCCAGATGTAGGGTTTTTTTCTCTCTGAGTCAGTGCTAAGCTGAACAAGTATTCTAATGTTTTAGTGGGGCAAAAGCAATAATATCTTCTGAGGAGGTGTACAAGGTTCTAATAGTTCATTACATAACTTATATAGCTTAAAATATTTTTGTTGGAAGAATGTTTCTTTTCTTTGTAGAATATTTTCCCTATATTTTTAGATCAGCAAGATCTCTGAGACAGAGGGGAAGTCCGATTTCAGAGTGGCCCCCTATGGCCCATTACATTAATGGATTATTAAATAATTGTATAAAGTTACTAGTTCAATTCTGTAACTGTAGGGTTGACCTTAGAAAAAAATAAAAGTAAAGTTCTGCAATTGTGTTCTGTTTTAGTCCTGTATTATTCCTTCAATGTCTGGTCCTTCTCTTTTTTGATATAGCTGGAATGTTTCCTGAACATGAAATTACCACTAAAAGATCTGGAAAAGTTTGCCATGCAGTATTTTTCTTAAAGGTGAATACTTCAAAAACTTAGAAAATTACTTTTTAAACAAAAGAATATTTTAGCATGTTTTTAATAGTTTTGAGTAGAAAGACTATTGCGAAACACAGTAAAGAACAGTCCGCTGTAGACCAGTATGACTCAGCCTTATGTTTACACAACCTCATTATTACTTAGCAAGTTTCCATTATTTTAAAATTAGGACTGTCCCTAAACACAAGAATTTAATGAAGCTTGCTCCGTGACATTACAAACCCAGGGGTCATATTGATCAACAAGCTTGTCTGATAGCATTTTGAATCAAGGCTGTTTGGCTGTTAAAAGTGTCTGAAAGCTGCCATAAAATTGCAGTAATCACTAATCTAAAATAGAAAGAAAACTGTGCAGAGTTAGAGGAAACCAAAGAATTTGAAGACTGTATTTCAGAGTAAATGTAATGGAAGGCGAAGAACCTTCTGACAGCTTAAGGAAGGTGTTATGAATCAGAAGCACAGTTCTTAGAAACCTCATTTGGAATATAGACATAATAATCAGCATTATTTTCCCAATTATCCCACACAAAGCTGTGGGTCTACTGTATTTAATAAAGGCCTTTTGCTGCATAATGATTTAAAGTTAGAATACTGTGAAAGTATTTAGTGCTAATACTGTACCAATACTAAAATAAGTGTTTGTATGTTTTCAGAACCCAGATATGAGACTCTGGGCCTGACATGCAAAACGTGTTGAGCTCTAGGTCCTGCAGTCCCAACTGATATTAAGTAGGTGCAATTACAAATTGCAAATCAAAATTAAAGTGACCCAGGCTTATACTTTGCAGTTTCTGATTCTAAGTATTCATTTTGGAAATTGGAAGTTCACCTTGCTAACTGCAAAATGCTGGCTTTCTAGTGGGATTTAAGAAGAAAACAGTAACCAGTTATGTGCTGCTGCAAGTATCTGTTAACTTCATTACAAGAACAGTAAATTCAGTGTTCAAAACAGATCTGACTCTTAACTTGGGAATTTCAAGGTCCTGTTGGTTCAGGCAATATTTGCCTTTTACAGTTTTTGTGGGGCTTTTGTTTTGGCTTTTTTTTTTTTAGATTTTCTTAAAACAATTTCTTTAAGGGAACATATATGTGTGGTGGAAGACATTTAAGAAGCTGAGTAAAGTACCTAGGAACACATCAAAACAGAAGGAATGAATCCTAAAAACTTGCACTCAAAATCCAAATGATTTCTTTCCTCCTGCATTCGTAGGGCAGAGTGACAGAAACAAGTGTAACTAAGTTCTAAATACAAATGCAAAATAGGCGTCATTTTCACTAGTGTTTTTTTTTTTTCTGTGTATTACAGTTGACTGGCATGTCAAAAACCCCACCTGTCTTCTCTGGACAGGCTAACTGGTACATTTTGGGAAACTCAGGTCAAGAAAAAAAAAAATAACTTTTGGGCTTTCCTTTTTTTTTTGGTCAGACTTCCAGCACGTTAATTTGACTACTTCAGCAGTCACTAGTGTTTGATAAATACTTTGTTGAAGGAACAGCTGCATAAATTTTGTCACAAGTAGCATTTTAATGCTGTAATAGAAGCAGAAATCCTTACTATAGCAAGTTACTGTATTTAGCAAAGATACTTTATTATTTGTTTTCAAATGTTTCCATTTTCAGTGCTGTTTTGTTTCCTTGCTGTTGAGTCACCAGGTGGGTCTTAGACATGATTCATGAAACTTAGCATCTAAGGACATTTGCCTCAGTGCCATTTTATTTATTTTTTAATAAATGTAATGAATGAATCCTTTCTGTATTTCAAACTGACTCAGTTCTTCCGGGTGTACTGTTGAAATGATGAATGAAGCAAAGCAGCGGTAAAGTTTGTACCAACACAGTAAGACTCTGTATCCTATACCACTCAATCCTGGTGTGAAGGTTTGGCCTTAGAGAAGCAAAAAAGTGCCAGCTTCTGATGTAGTGTCTTAGCTTTATCTTTGCAAACTGCAGTGGTGTGGACAGGCAAAGAGACCCTGCAGCTGTGCGGAGACGTGGAGCAATACTGTCTGTGGGGACAGCATCGCGTGACTCTGAAAGTAAGCTCTTCCACAGGGGATTCTTCCAGTCACAGAAGGAGCAAGAGGAGGAGCCTCTTCACTCCCCTCCTTTTTATAACTGCATAGACATAGGCACAGTGGGTTGTTCTGCTCAGAGGCTGATACTTTGCAGGCAATGGGAGACCTGAGGGCAGGCTGTTACTGATAGGGAAAGGAAGACACAGCAGTTCCAGCTATCTGGCTACCAGACAGCACCTGACTCTTATGCACACACGTGTGAACACACATGCTGTCTTTCCTCAGACTCATTTGGTGACACCAACTGAAGGGATCAGCTTGTCTGTAGCAGGTAATTTGAATATTGAAAGTGTGTAATGAGGCTTTCTGATTACATTGAGACTGAAGCAGGTCATGTGGAATACATACTGTTCTTTTGCCAAGTGACACCTGCAGGAAAAGCCTTACTTTACATGCATCTTAGAAAATCTCCGGAAGTTTCACTTTCCCTCTCTGCAGCCATGCAAGTAATAACAGCACAGTGAGTCGCTTGGTGCCGCAGGCTGCACGTGTTGCTACATGCTTGGAATATCCCTGAAACCATAAAGCCACGTAACAAAGTTCCAATATAATTCCTGTTGGACATGACTCTCATTATCCTGAGGTTAAGGCAACAGCTCTTCTTTCATTGCCTGTCTCTATATTGCAGTGCAACACGTAGTCTGATTGCCACCATAGTACTGACTGCATTTGTTTCAATACTTTTGGCAGTTGCCTTCAACTTGCTTCCAGAAAGCAAGGCTAATTTGCCTTTTTTTTGTTGTTTTGTGGTTTTCCAGCACGAGTCAGGAAGTTCCATTTCTAAATCAGGAGATGGGAAATGAGTGCTTCTGGGGCTTTCATGATTACAGGTCCCTTTTCCCAGCAGAAGGCAAGATCACAGGCTGAGAAAAAGCTTTGTACAGTAGAACTGACGTTTCAGTTTTCCATATGCCTAGTTCCAATTCTGAATGGGTCTGCTTTCAGGAGTAGTAGCTGAAAGCCTCTTAACAGAAAAAAATGTCATATTTTAGAATCTAAACATAGTAAATAGCTGAGTTGTCATTCCAGGAATAAGAAATATTGCCTAAGTTTGCCTTAGCAGCACCCTACTTTGAAAAATCTTCTCCATTTATTGGAGTTCAGAAGTGACTCAAAACCTTTGCTTCCACCGCAGTTCAAATGCCATAGCCTGCTATTTCCACCTGCACTTCACCATACAGAAAATTAGCAAACAGCGAGGTCCTAAAAGTGCAGCAGTAGATTTCCCCAGGAAAAAGAAAATATCATATCCTGTTGTTTATGTAGAAACCATCTTACATCATGTAGTCACAGATGTAACTGAAAGGAAGATGTAGCCCAGACTATTTACTGTTTTGTATAGTTAAAAAAAAAAAAAGCCATGTCAAACATGATCACACTCCTACATGAGTGAAAACAAAGAAACTGGTGTTGTGTTTTCACTGCAGTCCGCTTCCATCAGGATTAAGAACTGAGTCACAGCTACCCATGTAGTTTTTGCCTGTGTTACATGCTGCAGCCTCATAGACCCAATAGATATTTCAAAGTCAGTATTTTTGGCAGGAAGGAGTTAATTAGCTACTAGATGTAGGAAAAAACTTCCTCTATTATGAACTCGTGACAAAATAGATAATATTATTTCTCTGCTGAGAAGAGTTTCTTTTAAGTTCATGCCCAGAAATTAAATTCTGCTATTACACATGTAGTTCCCCATCCCCTCTTACACTGCTGTCGTTAGGTAGCCACAAGCTCGATTTGTGTGTTTGGCTTGTTACTGTACAATAAACTGAAAAATGTTAGTCTGGATTTTTCTGCTGAGTCCTGCCAGCATATATTCTGCGCCGCTTTCCATAAGGAAACGAACATCCACACCTGATTTAGTGCTTCTGGTGAATGGTATACTGGAATTACATTATTTTTTCTGAAACATCCAAATGCTATAGTGGTTTAATGGGGCACAGGGGTGGGAACAGGAGGCTCTCCTTGTGGAGAGAAGAGGTGACAAATGTGGGACAGATTCCCCAGCCAAATTGCATTTTTAGATTGTGGGATATAGACAAAACCAAATGAGTATCGAGTTCTTCCTAGTCAGTATCTGTCTCAGAGCCATTTTCTTCCCAGGAGCTTGATCTCAGTAAAGAAGCTGTCTTGCGTGAAGCTACGATTACATGGTTTCCTTCTCTTTGCAGAAAAAATGTCTGTTGCTGACCCATGACGTTTTTCACTCAGTAAAATATTTAGGCTGTGGTTGGTTACAACATGTCCAGTGAAAATAGGTCAAGTTTGGTATTTGAATGCCCTGGCAAACACAGTGTGTTTGCTGTATGCATCGATACCTGTCCTATTTAAAAGGACACTTAGGTCTGGACACTGGCAAACCTGGCTTTGGAGTTGGAAATTTGATAGTTATTAGTGCTGGTGAAGAGAGTAATTAGAGGGCGTTTTCTCCATTTGAACTAACCTTCAAAGCGAGACTTTCCTCACAGTATTTTCTGGCAAGCAGGAACACATATGTGCAGTAAAAAGGTCTCTAAGAAGCAAGTTTAAAGAAGTCAGCTAGAATAAGTTTACTCTTAATATATTTGTGTAGTATTTTTGAAAATAAAGTCTAAAAGTAAGAGCAGTGAGAATGAAGTTCATAACCTGTTCAGACACTGCAGAAAAGAGGGTTACTTCATCATGGAGTTAGGCATCTAAGTCTAACCTAGTTACCCTAGGCTGCATCTAATCCGTAGAGAAATAGGCACCTCTGGGAGACAAACTGTCAAATTTCAAGTTAGGTCACATGAATCATCATCAGGAAACACTCATTTTATTAATCCTGCTGGGTTAACTATCTCTGGTTTTGCCCTGCAGTTGGTTTTTATTATCCTATTTGTTTGCAGAGGAATTTAAAAAAAAACCACCACCACCTGCTGATGCGAAAATGGAAAAAAAACCTTCCCTTGTAATTGAGCAGTGCTTGGCAGCACAGATCATATGATGTTTAAGCAGAAAAACAGTTCACTATGGATGGATGGACCTGGACAGTGGCATGATGGAGTAAGAAGCAGCAGGGAAAGATTCGAAGCTCATACAGTGGCCAATTTCCATATAAATCCTCAAAATAAGACTCATGAGTTCCAATTAAGGAACTATGTAGATGCGTTATGACAGAGGGTGAATTTAATAAATATTTGTATTTTTCAGTATGCCTTTAGGAGTAAATTAGTTACAACAATCTGTTGCTTGCTTGATTGTTTTACAGTGGTTTTTCCCTTCCCAACTTTTCTCAGAGCAAACTTTTCAGCCTTTTCAGTCTTTCCTTTTCCCAGAGTAGAAACATACTGACTGTTTAGACTGATGCTACGAGCTGGAAAAAGTGTAGCTGCCAAAGTGCAGTACAGAAACTATTCACTGCTCTCGTCAGATGGAGGACAGTGGTAACAGTGAAAAAGATGCACTGATAGTCTCACTACTGCTATTACTCTGTCAGTATGATTACAGAAACCAGTTGACGGGCCAAGTGATCTCTCACTCACTGCAGCAATTAAAAGATGTGAATAATCTTTTTCCTCTCTCCCAATTACAGCGCAGAATGTCACAGTGGTTTCAAAGAAATGGACCTATGAATATCAACCACTATGCAAATAAGAAGAGCGCTGCAGAGAGCATGTTGGACATTGCCCTGCTGATGGCCAATGCATCCCAGCTGAAAGCCGTGATGGAGCAGGGACCTTCTTTTTCCTTCTACATCCCACTTATTGTTCTTATCAGCCTGTCGCTCACACTGCAAGTTATGGTGGGAGTGCTCCTGATATTCCTTGGTATGTAGCAATAGCAAGAATGATTGACATGTATTTTGCTTATAGGATGCAACCTATAAGATGGTATATAGACTCACCATTTATTTTTTAAAGACTGTTATATTTGAAAGTCTTTCTCTCAGAATTGATTAAAGTTTTCTTTTAAGATCATAAAAATACTGAATCGAAAGAGGTTAGGGCAGCTTTATGTGGAATCATCAATTTTGTTAACTTCCTCATACTCATTTGCCCAGAGTATGAATGTTTTTCTTTTCAGAAGGTTTGAGGAGGAAGGAAAATTATGAAATACTGTAAAAGAAACATTAATAGGCCACATATAGAATCATGCAGCCTGCCCAGTTTCATAATACTGTTTCTGGCAAGATCTGTTACTTAATCTTATGACTAAAATGTATTTGTTCCATATCAGTCAATAATATCATAAGTAATATTATAAGAATATATTGTGAACATGGAACTCCGAAAGAGAAGTGAAAGTTGAAATGTCCATCTTCATGTTGGTGTGGCATATTATCTTCAGTTTGTTTGTGTTTCTGCAATCAAATCAAAGGTTTACTAGCAAAGGCTTGACAATAATGAAAAAAACCCCTTCATTTTAAATTTACGAAATTATTCAAAGCATCCTAAATCTCTAGGTAGGGAATGGTAGAAATGTACTTGTTAATTTTCAAACCTGTTTTAAACTGGAATTAAAGTTAAAAAGAAAAATAGGCTACTCAGAGCCAGATTTCACCATAAGTACAGACCTCCTCTATTAGCCACAAAATATGACTTCAGTCAAAAAATTTCAAATTACATATAACACGAAAACACAGTCTGAGTAGCATCCTGGGACTGCAAATAGATTGTCTTGAATTCTGCTTATCGCTAGGGAAACCTTTTCTACTTTCTACCAAAGAAATGTGATGCAATATCTTTAACATATGCTAGAAATAATTTCAAGAGAATGAGTTCAAACAGGAGTTGTGTGAGTGCATGCTTTGGAGACATTTAATGAGACAGCTGTAGAATTAGTTCCCTGCTCCCTGCCTTCCCCCCTCTCCTCTTTCTGTCTTATTTCTTGAATTACAAATCTTCACATTCCTATAAGTTCAATGCAATGTCTTTGCTCTTCTCAAAAATAGAGGTTCCCTCTATTCAGTATTAATAGGTACAATGTTGTGAGGCATAAGATACCTTTGGCATCTCTGTTAGTCTTTCAGTGTTGCTTTTTTTAGCACAACTGAAAAAACAACTTTCTGTTCAAAGAGGAAGTTCCTAGGAAACCAGAATACATAAGGGTTGTAATATTGATATGCAGCTGACATAGCTTTTTTCTTTCTTACAAAAGAGACAGAGTATGGCTGTGTCTGCATTTAGTAGAGTTGGTACAAGAGCAAAATCCAGGTCCTGGCTCAGAGGAGATTCCAGAAAGGGGCTGGAAAAAGCAACCTGATGATGCTGGGGGATGTGGGAAGAGAGTCATGGAAGAATCAGCAAAACACATATGTTTTTTGGTTGAAGGCATCTCCCTGGTCATTGTTTCAGTTAAGCAGGCTTTGAGGCTGTAAACAACTTCCCTGTTTTTTATTGGGCCATAATTTCTCGGTATATGCCAAAACATTGCCTTTTAATGCTTGTTTCTGCCAGACATCGCCAAAGTGGCTTCCATCTCTGTAATTTTTATCTTTGTTAGGTTGAATGTAGAGTACCCAGCAGCCCCAGCTCCGAAGTTGGGCTGAGGTAGAGTTCACAAACCACTTTTAGGAAACAGTGAGATTCATCAGAAGTTCAGCCTGCGCTCTGTAGTCAGCAGTGGCTGCAGGTTTGGCATACCAAGGGTGACAAAGCCCTTGGCTTACAATGGTATGCTGTTAGAATGATGCTGTTGTGCTGAGCTCAAAAATACTGAAAAAGGGAAATGGGATGTGAAGGTACAAAGATACAGGCATCATAGCAAGAACTTGCTTTTCACAATGTGTATTTGGTAGTTTTGGCCTACAGGAGCAGTTTGCCACAGAATTCTGCCTTTTACAAGTTCTCATAACTCCAGACAAAAGTCTGTGCAACCATCCAGTTTCTTTCCTTGAGACAGAGTTTTATCCCAGGAGCTACCAGTTCTCACAGTTCTCTGCTAGGGATTAAAAGCTTTTCCTCCTTCAAAAGAGGCTTTCACAAAAACATTTTCAAAAATGTTCAGCAGACTTGTCCTTGAAAGTGATTTGGTAACCTTAACTTTTTGGAAGAAAAGCAAAGAATGTCTTGAAATAGTTTAAGTGGCATGAAATCATAGTAATCTAATCCCACTATAATAAAATACTTAAAGAATAAATGTTCTTAAGAACATTTTAACAAACACCCTCATCTTAAGTACTATAATCACAAAGATAGGATTACTGCAATTCTACTTGAAAATTTAGAGCACCACCTAAACTGACAAGCAATACTTGTCTTCTCTGGCCCTTACTTAGACAAAGGGACAGCTCTGAAAGTGTCAGTTCTCCTTTGAGCACGATTTCTTGTAACTCACAAAACACATTAGGCCATTATTGCCTTTTCTTTTTTAAACCAACGGTCTGAAATGCTTTTCTTCCATACTTCAGGATTAATTACTCCATTTCATTTATTCCACTTCATTCACATGACAGTACTAGAGTCCTTCCAGGTACTGTTGGAATGCAAGCATCCATGTAGCTCCAGATGCTTTACAGACATGTGTAAACTCATTTTCAGGGTTAAGTACTGCTGAGCTTAAATTATTTCATGCCTACAGAGGTGTGCAGTAGCTTAAGCTTCTCAGACAGTTCCCCCACACTGTTTTTCAGTGCTTTGACTAGCCTGTGGTGTTTGACTATACTTCTTCAGCAAACAGGACTTGAAGAGGCACCCAGAATTCCTTGAAACCAAAACAGCATTGGACTTCCTAATTAGGGACACCAAGTGAACCTGGCTTTTAATACTTTGGCATCATGGATGTGTTTGCCACCACTTCTACTGAACTGCTTCAACAAGCAAGCGAGTCTTGGTTCTGTGGTTAAGTTCTGCAGTGTTGACGGGGTCATTATGTTAAAAGCAAATAACAAAGTTTATCTCATGCAGTAGAGTCATAAGCTACACACCTATGTATGTGCCAATCAGAAAGAGCTCAAAATTTTATTTATGTTGCTATAAAAACTTGTCAGGTACAAACTTTCTGTCATGTGTTCTGTACATGCAGACACAAGCTCCAGGGATCTATGCATTTAGGAACTAGGAGTCTTAATAGACAAAAATCATTCTCAAAACAAGCTCCAGATTTCATCAGCACTCATTCCACCAGCATCAAAGAAATCTAGCAGAGGGTCTGAGTTGCAGAGCCTTTATTGCAGGAGAACAGAGACAGAGGAAAACCTTGGGTTTCCGCACGATGCCAGGCAAGCGCCCCTAGACTTCTGACTGTCCTCTACAAGCACATGCTTTACTCTAATGTCAAGTCTATTAGCAGTCCAATGTAACTCATTTATGTTTTCACAAGGCCTGTGTGTTCCTCCCTCACTCCCATTAGCAGTACAACCAAAGAACAACTGCAAGAAACAAAAAGAAAATGTTTACACAGCTGATGCTCTCTGTAAAAAGCTACACCACTACAAAGCAGCTACACTGCTTTGAAATCTTCCTCTGTTTAACAGATTGAAAGCCCTTGCTTTCTAAAAACAGAATCAGTGCAAAAGCAGGGAGTACAGCTGGGGAAGGGCACCAATACAAAAAAAAAACCAGCACTGGTAAAGAGATTGGGCTGTCTCTGAAGAAATTGAGCTGTCTGTAACATTTTAACTGTAGGAAATTTAATTTCATTCCATCCTGTCAGGGCTTCAACCTTCATGTATTCAAGACTGAAATAATTTTTAAACGCTTAAAGTCTGCAACAAAACTAGGTCTCAAAAGATCAAGAACTCAGAAGATTTCTAGTAATGTTTGTGTATCCATTACTGCCCATCTGCATCCACAGAGATTAGGTACTAATTACTGGAAGCTAATAGGCTCCTTGTGGTTAAAGATCTTCTCCTTAGCACTGTTACTGACACTGCAGATTCTTACTTCGCTTTTAAGTATGACTGATGCAAATTGCTCAGTGGAAGAGAAATTCTTGAACTACATGCGTAGCGAAGAGTTTTATTCTGGATTTTGAAATATGCATGTAATTAAAACTTTTTTTCCCCTTTCTCTTTGAAGTAAAATATGACCTTAACAACCCTGCAAAACATGGAAGGCTGGATTTCCTCAACAACCTTGCAACTGGACTAGTATTCATTATAGTAGTTGTGAATATTTTTATCACTGCCTTTGGAGTGCAGAAGCCAGTTGCTGAGTCAGTATCAAGACAGTAAGTACAAGGTGAGTGTGGTCTCTCGGCACCTTAAGGTAGTAGGGCATAGCATACAAGAATGCAGTGCACACTAGGGCATAGCTTTAAAAATAGCCATGAGCTTATCTATACAGTTCTAGCCTTTGCAGATAAATGAGTTCACTTCAGACTACTGCAAAAGCAGAAGCTACTAGGAACTGCTAAGTTATTATGGTGTATGTGTAAATGTAGAGTTCAAAAGTTGATGGCAGCATCTTAACTTTGTCAGGGGCCCCTTGCATGTGTCACGCATAGGAAGCATAAAGATTGTCCTTCTGGCTTAGCCACTCCTTTTCCTCATTGCTGACTAAGCCAAGAAGGGAAATAATATTGGTTTGCTTCCTCCAAACACCTCTTCTTTTTTCAGGAGAGGTTTGCAATATACTGCATCCAGTCTGTTAAGAACACTGAAGACATAATCTTTATCCAAGCAACTAGGGCTATTAAGTCCAACCTATAATACTAGACATCATTGGAGCCCTTCAGTTCTTATGCAGATAGTGTGGCTTTTCTGTCCTGCCAATCTGCAGGGCTTTTGCTTTGTGGGAGACTCAGCCTGCAAAGATGTGCACTATCAATTTACTGGGTACATGCCGTCATTTAGAACAATATTGTTTGCTCTACCTGCATTTTAAAATTTGTTATTTACTTATACAGAAGGATAATTATAGGAATTGTGGGAATCAAAATGGGTATCTTTGTAGCATCATAGCTATGATGAATAATTTGGGAGGAGATAAACCTAAATTGTAGGCTTGTAGCCCAAGAAGCACTATAGTCCAACATCTGCCTTTAAAATAGCACTGCTAAGCCTGTGTGTGCCAACATTACTCTGCCTCTTTATCTTCCAAATCTCAAATCACGTTCAGAAGACCTGCTGTAGAAGGAATTACTTGACTTTCCTGGCAAGCCAAGGTACACGGTCTACTACGCAGACAGGCCATACATGTAACATTATCAGTTTGAGTTAACTTCTAGATGAAACCCTTTCTCCATGAAAAAGAAGATACAAGGCCTTTAAACCCCTAATCTGAAGATGAATGGCACAGCATCCGTAACAAGAATGGAAACCCGAGCAAGGTTTATCAGGACTGTAGACAGCATGGGGGGAAATCAGGGCAAGCAATTACTAGGAAGATGAAGAATGGAATTCATTTATTTCAGGGTGTGGGCAGAATTGTCTGCTTTAACCAAAACCTGTGAAATTCTGGTAGTGAAACAAGATAGTTTTAATGTATTTTCTGGCCATATTCTGTACAAATTAATAAATATTTAATTTTAGCAGCAAAGAACACATAGATTATCTGAGATATTATCAGAATTATAGGTAGAATATCCATCTCAGCAGTACATATTATAACAGTACTGAAACACTAACCACAGAATTGCACTGGCAAAGCCAAGAGGACTGAATGAAGAATTACTGGGATTTTAGCTCTCTTCACAGGCAAAAACATGCACAATAGCCAAGAACAGAGGCAGAGACAAGAATCTGAAATAGGCATCAAGAAATTCAAATGGACAAGGTGGCATACCACAAACCTAGATATGCCTCTTTGTCATACAGTGAAAGAAAAACTTAAGGGTTTTTCTCATAGAGAGGAGAAGCAGGTTTTGCATATCGCACTGGTGCATGCCAAGTAGAGAGGAAAATGAGCTGACAATCTGATCCCAAGCCAGTTAGTGCCATAATAGAATGGTATAATGAAACACCTTGCCCTGCTAGGATGCTGGGTGGGTGAGCTCACCCACATTTCACCTGCTATTTCTTTACTAGTGCCACGTTCTCTAATGAGGTGCCTTACTGATTCTCCCCAGTACCAGTGCCAGCTCTGCTCCCTTTTTCTCTCACTGGCTTTTAGGAGATGCTGCTTCTGCAGTGTTTCCCAAACATGACTACTGTATTTCTCTACAGCAGAACTCAATACTGAAGCACTTTGAAGAACCCTGCAGCTGTTACAGAGTTTGCAGGACATCTGTTTTGTGTGTTACAATCCAATTCAGCTCTGGACAGCACTAATGTGCCAGGCCGACTTCTGAACATTGCTGTGCATTAGCTCTTTAAACATGTAAATTGCATCCCCCTGCAAATTTCTTGCACCTGTCCGTGGACTTTGTCTGCTTTCCCCTTCCTTCACGCACACATGGCTAAGTCTTATGGAAACGCCAATGGTTTTGTGCAATGTCTTACTGCTTTGCTGGCACCATCTGGCAAGAAGGGGCTCTTCACAGCATTTGTGTTGGAGTTTCTCCTCTACTATTCCTTCTTCTCTCCATAAACTGTCAACCCAAAGGGTTTAGTGGCTTAATTATGACTAGGGTTGTGGGGTCCCTAGTTGGAAACTAGTCCACATGTAATTTCTCTGAGATCATCATGAGAGCATGAAACGTGGTTCTGCTGCCTAGTGGATGGTAATAGCTCATACAGCTATATATCATATATCGCATATAGCTATGCACAGCCGGAGTATTTGTTCACATATATAAACATGATGATTGGTTTCTACTGCTGAAATTGGTTTAATAAACTTGCAGTGCCTCAATAAAGGAGAAACAGTAGCTGGTTTATGTAACCTCAGGTAGAGGCAAGCCCAAAGGATGTTTAAAGGAAGTTTACATCTGTACAAAACCAGCAGCTGTGTGATTCTGCCTTCATGTTTCTCACACATGCAATTTCCTCATAAAATGGCCAAATGTGGTGTCTGGGACCTCTGTCTTTTTGCTCTGAACTTGTTAAATGTGGAAGTTCTTCATTGCTTTGGAACATTACATCTGCTGTTTGCCATTTGTACATATTGCCCTTGCTAGAAACACCTGGTCATCTGAACGTAACTTGAAAAAGAAGTCTTTTTCAGTCTGCTGCCACAATCTCCTCAAAGCCCTGAGAGAAGTGAGTGGCCACCATTTTCTGGCTTCACCTTTACTATTACGCATACTTTTCCAAAGAAAACTTAATTCCCCCTTTAAAGCAAATTTGTCATTTACAGTAATTCCTATATCACTAATATCTCAGTATCTTTCTTTTGTATTTCAGAGACCTGAGGCATTCATTCTAGAGGCCATTTGCACTTGAGCCAGTTACGCTTGGACACAGTGGGGGAAAAAAAATAATGTGAAAAAGCTTGACACACCGAGTGGCTTTCTCAAGTTTCCAACAACCAACACATTTCTGTACCTCAAATTTTCCCATGTGTTAATATTTAAACTGTTTGGCATCTAAGGAAAAGTTGATTTTGACCCAAGGACATTGTTTTTCTGGAATATTGGCATTTCAATTTCTGTAGAAACTAATTGTTTTTCAGAGAAGTGGCATAAGCTCATCAAACACAGTAATATCAACTGGTGGCACTTCGCAGGACTTCCCATTTTCCATGCCTTTTGTTTTTGTGGCAATTTGTCATTTCCATCGTGGTAAGAAACAGCAGGCCTTCGGTTCTGGCGTGATCACATTGTCCTTTATTTCACTCACTTGGCTCCAAACCTATGTACTCCATAGCACAGCAGTGGTCTTCCTTTGCAGCGTGCAAAGATAGCTACGCCTTGTTTTCTGGTTTTTTTTCTACTCTAGTTAAAGCAAAGATGAGACACACAGAAACAGTAGGCTATCTTTTGTCCAGTTTTGCTCACAGCTACTCATTTGTCCTGTTTCTTCAGCTCTGGACCACATTTTTAAAATTTCCTTTCCTTCGTGCACAGACACACAAATAACCTAATTGCTAATAGTTTCTTACCATTAACTGCTATACTCTGTATTCTGTGCATTATATATGTTTCTGGAAACCCTGTTAGAAGCACTACCTTTTCTAGGCTCAACTGGAAAGCTAGAGGATACATGGTGAACTTTACCTGCTAAACTGGTACTGAGCACCTGTCAGCAATTCAAGTAGCAAACTGAAAGAAGTTTATCCCTCTAGAACTTAATTTTCCCTTCTCTCTTCCCAAGATTGATTGCTGCAGTTGTGTTCTGAGTTTATGGCTAAAAGCATAACTATTATTTTTATTTTTAAATATATAGAGAGATAAATGTCTTCTAGGTTCTTACCTGCTGGCTCAGGTACTCACACTTTTTCTAAATATACTATAAAAATTTCTACAACAAAAACATTTCAGTCATTTTATTTCCAAAGTATCACATCTTCAATCAGAAAAATCCTAGTTTTCTGGATGGTGCTTATTTGTAGATGCAGATTTGTACTAATGCATTTCCTTACTGGTAATTTTTAAATGCTCCCTTGCCCATACTAATAGAAGTTTGACTTCCATGTGTCTCATCTCATTTACAATTTTTATTGATCACATTTCTCTTTAGTTATGTCTCAAGACCCATTGATGTACCATCTCTTCATTTACATGTTCTGTAAGAGCCACTAACAGAAAACCCATCAGAAACTTGTGTGATTAGTAATGGAATACACATTCTTTTATTTTTTAATTCGTCTTTTGTTGCTTCATTTCCAACTTAACATGTATTTAACCAGTATCCATCAAGCAATAGTTTTAATTTTGCGTGTTGTACTAAGTTAAACATAGCTCAGAACAAGTTCTGAATGAGGTACTCAGGACAATTTGCCTTATTTATTTTTTACAAATCAACAAACTGTTGAAGGACTATTCATACATACTTGTGCTACCACAGTTTTGATGCTGTGGTGTAGTGAATTGCCTGGCCAAATAGCAGTGCAGAAAAACTTAAAAACCTTTCTTTTGAAGAAAATAGGTGACTGTAGGCAGAGCCCTTCCAAGCATGAAATTTAGAGAATCATAGAATCAT